GTCTTCAAGACTACTAGAAGACTACAGGCAGGTGAGTTTTATCAGGGTTGGATCAAATCTCTGCAGGAAAGTGGCCTGGAAGGGCCAAGTTTGCCCATCACTGGTCTAGATGTTGCAGAACATAATGCAGTCCCATATTGACTTTGTGTGGCAATATTACATTATTATTATATTTAGTCTGTAAACGGCCATTAACAGAGGCCAGCGACGCTGAAGACGAACGCAAAGAGGAGAAAATGCTGTAGCAGGCAGAGCAAGATCGCGGTTCACGATGTGTGAAATATAGGAAGAAAATCCTAAATGTTGAATTTTATATGGATGTGTTTCTGACTGTTTTCAGAAAAGTTTACATGGCGTTTTCTTGTCATTTTGGCTCGGTATAATGCATTTAAAGTAGTGCTAATATGCACAGTGCTGTTTTGTGTACAGTAGTAACCAAGTAAACGCTACTGCTCCATGAGTGCCACCTGCTGACAAAGAGTGAAATTTTGTCTGTCAGCCCGACTGCTGATTCGGTTTCATGCAGGTGTTTTATGTAGAATAATTTCACAAAGCTGAAGTCAGAACATTCTGTTTTTGCTTCAAATGTTGAAATTATATGGTCTTATTTAATTTTTTGTGGCAGGGAAAATCCCCGACCGGGCCAGTAGAAAAAATCCTTAGCTTTGAGCCCTGCCTTCAAACATGATGCTTAGAATTGAGGTTCATCAGACCAGAGAATCTTGTTTCTCAGAGTCTGAGGGACCTTTAGATGCTTTTTTGCAAATTCCAAGTGTGTTTTCATGCGTCTTCACTGAGGAGAGGATTGAGTTTGGCCACACCGCCATAAAGCCCAGATCGGTGGAGTGTTGCAGTGATGTTTGTCCTTCTGTAGGTTTCTCCCATCTGCATATATGATCATGGAGCTCAACTAGAGTGACCGTCAGGTCTAGACAAGGCCCTTCTCCATCAATTGCTCAGTTTGGCCAGGAGGCCAGCTCTTGGCTCTTCTTCCATTAAGGGTAACAGAGACTACATCTGTGAACCTTCAATGCTGCAGAAATTTTTTGTTCCCTTCCCCAGATATGTGCTTCAATACAATCCTGTCTCGGTGGTCTACAGACAATTCCTTGAACTTTACGGCTTGGTTTGTGCTGTGACATGCACTGTTAACTGTGGGACCTTATATAGACAGCCAGGTGTTTGCCTTTACAAGTCATGTCCAATCAACTGAATTTACCACAGGTGGACTCCAATCAAGTTGTAGAAACATCTCAAGGATCAGTGGAAACGGGATGCACCTGAGCTCAATTTTGAGTGTCATGGCAAAGGCTGTGAAAGGATGTGATTTTTTTTTTAATACATTTGCAAATATTTCAAACATACTTCTTTCACGTTGTCATTATGGGGTATTGTATGTAGAATTTTGAGGAAAATAATGAATTGAATCCATTTTGGAATAAGGCTGGAACATAACAAGATGCGGAAAAAGTGCTGTGAATACTTTCCGGATGCACTGTACACAACGAGAACGGTACCCTTTCAAGTAATTTCAAAAACAAAAATGTTGAGAGATAAGGCTGAACAATATTAAGATTTATTTTTTGATTTCTGTAATCCAAACTATATATGCAACAATGATGTCATTTCAGTAATGTCACTTCATTTCATGTTTTTGAACGCTGTTAATTGGGCTGAGTTGTTTTGTTAAACGGAAAGTTTTTACCATATGTTGATATTGAATCAACAGGACAGTAACTGTCTCCTGACTGGAGGCAATGATAAAGTACTGCGCATCTATGATCTCGGCAAACCAGAAGCAGGTATATAAATCTTTTTTGGATTTATTTTGATTTCCAAAATCCAATTCCTAGGCAACTGCTTAAAGGTAAAATGACATGCAAGGCTTAATGGTATTTGTAATGCAGAACCCCAGGAGATTGCAGGCCACACCTCTGCCATAAAGAAAGCTCTGTGGTGTAACAATGACCAACAGATTCTCTCGGCTGCTGAGGACAAAACTATCAGGTGAGTGACCAGAATGGTAACGGAGAACATCTTTGAATTTTACAGTAGATACTTTGCCTTTTTCAGACTGATAATTTATAGTATATCTATAAATATGTGTGTCTGATTCGGAGTTTGTGTTGTCTTTCATGTGTAGACTTTGGGACAAGAACACAAAGGAGGCAGTGAAGACTCTGTCATTTGATGCTTCTGTCAGCAGCATGGAGTACATTCCTGATGGGGAGATCCTTGTCATCACATATGGGAGAACCATTGCTTTCTACAGTGCCCACAGGTAGATGCCTACAAGCTGTCATATCATGCAAATATTACCTTGCAGACCAAGTCAGACAAAAAAATATGTCCTTAAAATTTACTGACAGCTGAATATCAAATGGTTTCGTTTTTTTTTTTTTAGTTTGGATTTGATTAAGGCTGTGGATGCCCCTGCATCTATTCACTCTGCCTCACTGCATCCTGAGAAAGACTTCTTTGTGGCTGGAGGAGATGACTTCAAACTTTACAAATATGACTACACAACCAAAGAGGAAATGGGTAGGAATATAGTCGCTTAGTTAATGTAATTAACTACATTATAAAAAAAGCAAAGCTTATTATAGATTGGCTCATGAATATATATTTATTTGTTTAAGTTTGTCTCTCTTTCAGAGTCATATAAGGGTCACTTCGGGCCCATACACTGTGTGCGGTTTAGCCCTGATGGAGAGCTGTATGCCAGTGGCTCGGAGGACGGCACTCTGCGTCTGTGGCAGACAGCTGTAGGGAAAACGTACGGCCTGTGGAAATGTGTCCTGCCTGGTGAGTTTACATAGTGTCAAGACAGTTAGCATGTAGGGCTGCACAAGTGGTTGAATTAAAACCGAAATTGCGATTATTGCTTAGTGCAATTTAATTAAATATATGCATGCCACTGCATTCTTTTACACGCAAACAGCTCATGATCCAGTGTTTTCAGTGTCTTTAAGCAGCTCAGTTTGCAGTAAATGCTACTCTGAGCTTGCGTTGCTTAAAACATATATTTTGGAACACAATTCTCCAAACTTCTTTCCAAACTTGTAATGAGAACTTGAGAAGCGCTCGTAAACTCACTGTTGTCAACAAAATAGAAGTTTCAAGGGCTCTCTGCAGTAAAAGCTTGATGGTTTAACATATCAAAATGAAGAAATTAAGACAGTCATAAAACTTACTATTGAAATATTACCAAAAAAAGCTTTTATTATTAGTAGTAATAGTAGCAATATATTTATCTTTAATACTCCTATTTTTATTTTACAGTTAAATATTACAATAGTAAAGTTACTTATTTTTTGTTTTATTTAATAAAAATAGTTATTCTTAATATCATTAAATAAAATTATATATTTTTATTTATTATTTTATAACCATTGATATATAATCACAAGATTGAGTCAATCATGCAGCCCTACAAATAAGCTGAGCAAAATTTTTATCTGAAAAAATGGCAATTCTATTTTTCTCCCCCGCCCAAATCGTGCAGCCCTATTAGCATGTATATATGCATGATTCAAAAAGATGTGGACTTTATTTCTGAAAGCCTAAACTATAAATACATTATCTGTCTAATACGTTTCTATCAATTAATCAAAAGAAGCTTGATGGCAAATATAACAATGCCATATAAGCACCAAGTCCAGCAGAATTCCAGCACTGTCGTTAGATTTTGAAAGGCTTATGACAGATGTCACTGCCTTTACTACAGCGATTAGCTGACAAGTGACTTGTTTTGCCTCTCATTTGCATGAAGAAATGCTCTTTCCGCTCTGCTGTCATACCTACAATATCTGGCACGATCCTGCCTTGCCTGTTCATCCATAATTCAATACTAAATCAATTATTTTATCAGCGATTTTCTATTTGAAAGTGCCAGGTCAGGAAAAGGCTCCATATGTGGCCTTGTGTATCGGATTCTGTACCCTACACTAAAATCTCTCCGTCCCTTTCAGAGGAGCTGTTATCAGAGAACTCTGAAGCACTGTACTGCCCTCCAGCAGAGATCAAGGCCTGATTTGGGAGAGAAAGAGGGAGACAATGAGGCAAAGGAGGAGAGATCACGACACGGGAGAGGTCAGGGGACGGGATGGGTCAAGGAAACCACACCCCAGCAAAGTGCTGTGCCACCAACCTTCTTCACATGAGACAGACCGCATTGCCGAGCGTGGAGACAAACCAACACGCATGTACACATTGTGGAAATGAGCATCATGAGACGGCGGTAGAGCTGAGAGCGCTAGTTCAAATGCTAATCCTCCAGCTGCCTGCTCTTTCTTTGATACCCATGATACACCAGTCAGCTCTTTCATAAGCGGTCGGTTTCTGCAGCACTGTGATCACTTTGGTTAAGATTGTTTTGTTTTTTGTTTTGGTGTTACAACATGTGCTTTCAGTACATTTTGTTTCTTAATGCAAGAGCTCAATCTTCAGTTTGATAACATCTCTCAGCGGAAGGGCTCCTGAGGAACGTGTTATTCAAATGTTTATCAATAGTAGTGTGAATCTGTGGTAAATGTTTTTCATGACAGCCTGGGAAATACGTAAACGTAAAGCTTAAAAGTGACTTAAGTTCTTTAATAATTTTGTCTTTGGTTGCAACATATGTTGTATCATTAGGCCAATAAAATGATAACACCTTTATTAAATTGAATGGTTTTTCTTTGTGTTTTTTATTAATCAGAAAATATTTTTTCAAAACATTACAAATAACTTAATACTGTGATATTCTGCACTTCAATTACCCATTAGTCCACCAGTAGAGGCCTTTAATTTCTAGTGTAATTTGAAAAATATTTTTAGTCCTCATTATGTCCACCGCAAAATTAATTTTACATTCGAAGGAATTTTTGGAATTGGTAAGTGATTCTCTTATAACCAAGTGGTTCAACCCGTCTATTTATCGCCAGTGATTTTAAATAGTCTAACATCCAATCAGAGCGCTTCTTTCTGTGGAGCGCGTCCAATAGGGGTCTCTCTCCTAAGATGGTCACTGTTCCCATAAAAGAAATCGGTCTCAGCCAACGATAGTGTTCTGCTCAAGCCAACAGACATGTCGGAATTTCTGGAGGACCCGTCTGTGCTCACTAAAGATAAGCTCAAAAGTGCACTGCTGGCCCATAATGTGGCTCTGCCGAACGGCGAACATAAGAAGGACGTATACATACAGCTGTACTTGAAGAATCTGACCGCGCAAAACAAAAAGAGCAGCGGCTCTCCAGATGTCTTCTCCAGCGACGAGGAACTGCCTCCAGCCCCCGTGCTCTCCAACCGTAGCCGCTCTGGCAGGGTGGGTTGCTTGATCTTCCTTGCTTTGTTTTGGCTGGTTATTTGATTTGCATGTAAAATGAATCCAATCGAGTTGATGCAATTCGCGGTTTCGACTTGTATCTGTTGTATCATGTCGTGCATGTTCTAAAGTCAAATGAAGAGGTTAGGCTTATCAGAGTAAATAAATGTCATAAGTGTCCGGTTTGCCCATGCACATGCCTCACAAATGAAAACAAACCGGCATGGCTAACTTTTACTATGGTGACCGGTTCGTGAACGAATCAATCGTTATTTTTGAGTTGGACCATTTCAGTGAATCAGTTGAGTTTGATCACACTCTCGACATAATAACGTTAGTTGATTTTAATGAGTAGTGTTAGATTAAAACATGCAGTAATAGCTACATTTTAGCCAAGGATTGAGAATGTTTTTACCATTTAATCACTTGCATTATATTTAAATTCTACATGACTTCTTATGAGCTGAATCACAGCTGCAAGTAACGTTACCCTAACTTGGTCTCTTGGGATTACAATAAAAGCCCTTAAGATATAATCAAAACACGTATAATTAATCAACTATGTAGTCTGAACAGCAAAATGTATTTATTGCTTTATTTGAACGCTTATTGTAATATTATTTCTTGCAGAAATTTCAGTTATCACATATTATCATACGCAGTGCCTTGAAAGGATCATTTTTAGAACAGGGGTTACTTCCTATTACCGGCCGACAATTTCCCGCGTAAATGTGTCGGTCTGATTCATAGGTTTAAATTTCAATCAAGCGTTTAAAAGCCATTTAAAATCATAAATGCATGACTTGCAGAGATTATAACGTGTCGGAAATCTTACACCGCTGTATGTAATCCCCGTTTCACATCTGTTTTAGGCGTGTCCATTCAAGTCACAGGAAACGTAAAAGCCCCAGCTTTATTATGAATGCTTCAGGGAAGACCCATGCTGTGGAAATTTTTACCTAGCATACCATAGCAATTCCGAAAGTTTTGATTTGTTTTGCTATGCATCTAAATCTGGTGATGTTTCTAGTCCTTGGCATTTCATGAATAATGCTGAAGTGATGAAACACCTGTTCTTAGAGAGGTGGGAGTGTAAGTTAGATTTGGTTATTCAGCCTTAGAGGTCGACGGGCATTTTTAAATGAATCTGCATCGGCCGATTGTACTGCAAATTAGGCCGATTTATAGGCAGGTGCATCTGGGGCATCTAAGCTAGGGTGACCATATTTTAGTATCGTGGGCGGGGCTTCGCCTAAAAGTATATGTTGCAAGTTTTTTTGTGTGTGTGTTTTTGTTTTTATAGTAAATGAAAAGAAAACAAGTAGTTAGAATAGAAAAAGAATAGGGAATGCTAGTGCTAGAGGGTCATTTTTTAAAATAAAAATAAAACAAGTCAATAGAACAGAAAAATAATAGGTAATGCTTGTGTTAGAAGGTCATTATTTAGAATAAATAAAAAGAAAATAAGTAGAAAGAATAGAGAATGTAGGGTTGTGCAATTAGTATCGTGTATCGACGATAGTCAGAGATATCGACGATAGCACATGTCTTTGCCGATAGTCAAGACGACATTAGGCTCATTCTCCTATAAATGTATTCAATTATAATTATTAGGCGGCCTATTATACTTCGGCTATTATGAAATTGCCCCGCTATTTCACTTCAGCACCGCATTTCACACTCGCGCAAATGAGGATTAGAGCCTGTAGCCGGTGAAGGAGTCTCCAACCACAAACACAGACGTACAGATTCTGCTGATATAAGTTATGGTAACACTTTACTTGAAGGGGTGTGCATAAGACTGACATGACACCTTCATAATCATGACATGACACATGTCATGAATATGAATTGCATTTTAACAAGTAATCTGAACAGCCTTTATACAGTGGGTACGGAAAGTATTCAGACCCCCTTAAATTTTTCACTCTTTGTTATATTGCAACCATTTGCTAAAATCATTTAAGTTCTTTTTTTTTCCTCATTAATGTACACACAGCACCCCATATTGACAGAAAAACACAGAATTGTTGACATTTTTGCAGATTTATTAAAAATGAAAATGAATACTTAGGACCATGTGATATTTCATTTTTTCATTTTTTATAAATCTGCAAAAATGTCAACAATTCTGTGTTTTTCTGTCAATATGGGGTGCTGTGTGTACATTAATGAGGAAAAAATAATAATTTAAATGATTTTAGCAAATGGCTGCAATATAACAAAGAGTGAAAAATGTAAAGGGGGTCTGAATACTTTCCGTACCCACTGTATGTGCAGTATTTTAACCGAGCCCTCACACTAACTGAGTTTAACGCCACAGCTATGTTAGAATGCATTTCATTCTTGTTTCTGTGGCGGTGCGTCGGGCTCATCATGGGGCGCACGGTCCTGAGCGCTGTATGACTGATGTATCTGTTCAATTTAACTTTACTTCAAATATATGAACGTACATGTTTTAAATACGTTTATATTTAACGTTTGTTTATGTCCAATGTGTTAAACTGTTGGTTTTTAAATAAATCTACTTTTGATTTTCACCATTGACTGCAGCCCTTTTAGACCGATAACTTCCGTGCTCTGATGCGGCAAACTTGTCACAGGACGCGCGGCCCTAATAGCGATGTATGACTGTTGTATCCGAATGTATATGAAATGGCTGTTTTAAATATTTTTTATATTTAACCTGTTAGTTTATCAGTATGTTTAAATGTATAGCCTATTATTTCGATTATTGGTGCTTTCATAGGCTCTCTCTTGCGCGCCCACCCGGTTTAAAACACCACATAGTTATGAAAATAGCCTGAGTACAGAGCCTAAGTCTCTCTCTTGCCCCCACCCACCCATGCATGCACGCACGATAATATCGTGTATCGGCGATCTCACGGGCTGGCGATATGAAGATTTGAAAAATGACCATATTGCCCAACACTAAGAGAATGCTACTGTGAAAGGCTCTTTTTTTTCTCTCTCTCTTTTGAAATAAAACCAGTAGTTAGAATAGAAATAGAATATAGAGTGCAAATGTTAGAGGGTCAATTTTTTTTAAATAAAAAAAAAAACAAGCAGATAAATTTAGAATTAGCATTATAATAAAAGTGCTAGAGATAGAGAGGGTCAAATGAAGATGAAAGAGATGTGTTTTCAGCCGTTTCTTGAAATGCTTGGATTGAGTTGGGCAGGTCATTCCACCAAGGGGGAACAGTTAATGTAAAAGTCCATGAAAGTTTTATCATAGGTAGAATGCAAAATGTTTCAATACAAGCATTTCAGTCAATTTATGCAATATTTCAAACTTTTAACCCACTTGGGAAAATCAACCCATGGCAACAGTTTAAAAGTAGCCCAATTCTGTGGGAAAAAACGAGGACTTGGCAACCCTGCATCCAACAAGAGCTCCAGGAGTCAGCTTTGACTGATCACAGGTCGAGAATAAGGAGAGATGACTGACAAGACCATGCTGGAGTATTTGCTGCTCAACAGATCCTGAGCTCATTGACAAATATCTGATCTTGTAAGATGTGCTCCCTATTCACAGAGTGAAATCGAAAGTGAACGTGAACAGCACGAACGCTCATTCAAAAGGGATTTAAATGCTTAGAGCGGCTCCCTGATGCGGCAAAATGATATACAATATTAGAATGTTTAAAGGAGTGAACACGAAAATCGCGGGAGCGAAACGCATGTTGCGGCAATGGTCAGATTCAGCGGGAGCGAGATTAAAAAAACAGCCAAATCCCGGACATTTTGGGCGATAAAGAAATCCCAGCCGGACGCATTTTTTTTTTAGGTCCAAAAAGAGGACATGTCTGGGGAAAGAGGACGTATGGTCACCCTAGCTAAGCATTGTTGCAGAACGCCGTACTGGAGAATCTCTCTCCCTGTGGCTGCGTGAGACCGAGCAGCTCACTCTCTGCAGGTGTGCCTTGTTCACACACAGCTTCAGCTAATAATGGCAGGGCAAAACAGACAGTTTCGAAAGCGTAATTACGTTTTACCCTACTAGAATTGATGCCGACTGTGCTTATCATATTCAGAAGTAATTTGCATGTGAAAGTAGAAACGCGTGCAATTCAGACGAAACTTCTGGGCTGACTATAACTTTCCTCACTAAATATCTGTGGGTCTGACAATAACCTCCACGATGTCATCGCTCGTGTGCTGCAGGCTGTGTAATTTGAGTGAACTCTTTTATTTTTGTTATCACTGTGGCCATTTGACTTATAGCAGTGTCCAGTGTTTCACATACATTGAATTATTTGTGGCGATTCGTCACAATATCAAAACAGACTGCCACAAATAGATTTTCCAAAAGGCTTGTACTCCCTTGAATAAACTGAGCACTGCAAGTTAAAAAACTTAAAATGCAGCGCGGGTGTTTTTATATGATAGGCCTGTCGCGATAATTAAATAACCGTCTAATCGCGATTATTTGATCTAACCAACCGTGGTTATTGTGCTTTTTATAGGAGACAAGGGGGAGTCATACACCAAAAAAAACAGAAGAGCACCAGTTTGCTTTTCATGCACTGTATAGCTTATACAGGGCTCCAGACTCATTCTTCTCACTGTTCGCTCTTTTGCAACTAACTTTCTCAGCTGGTTGCACGAGCACATGATTTGGTCGCCCTATATATATATATATTATATATTTTTTTTATTTTTTGCGCTACAACAATTATTCAATTTTAGGGATAGGGATTATTCAATGCATGCTGATGAACTTTTATCGTAGTCTATAGTTATATGGAAACGAAAGTGGTTAACATTCAACCCGTTCTTTATCATCAGTACAGTAGTATTATTTGTGATTTTAAATTTTGTGAATGGGAGTTTATTTTGCTGTGTTAAGCCGCGGGCTTCGGATGCTTTCACTTTCGAATTTCGCGATCTTGTTGACACTGTTTTGCTTGCATACATCTACACACTTTTCATTTTTTTTAAGACTAAAACAAAAGATGGATTCATTGTTATTCTTAATTAAAAAGCACAACAACAAT